CGACACCTCGTGATCACACAGGCTGATATGTTCTTCCATGTGGGCTTTGTTGCTTCTGAGCTAGATGGCCGCTTGTTTGCCTTCAAGCTTTTAAGACCCCAGACTCTATATTTTTTGATAGCCGAGCACCATCAGCTTTCTTCCCCACACTTGCTTATTCACCCGCTTTGTCTTCAGCGGTTGTGTCGGGAAGGTGAGCATCATAGAATGCCAACCAATTGATTTTTAACAAGGGTGTTATGTTTATTTGATAGGGTGAGAAGAGTCTCTTCAATAAACTGCACTCTTCAATAAACTGCACTGAGAAAAGTCTCTTCAATAAACTGCACTTTCCCCATACAGAAAAATGAAACATGATCCATGCCTCACATCACGTACAGAAAACAAATTCAACGTGGATTAAGGAGCTAAATGTACAACCTAAAACCATAAAATTCTTAGAACAACTTTCCACAATAGATTTCCTAATATAATAATAGCACAAATGGGAAGAGATAAAATAACTACATATGATCAAACTTTAAAATATGATTAAAAATATCATTAAATATTAAAATTTTTGTTCACCAAAAGGCTTTATCAAAAAAAGTGAAAAGACAAGCTCCTCAGTGGGAGAGAATATCTTCAGAAACCATATATGTGACACGAATCTAATAACCATAATATATATAAAGTTTAGATAGCAACAAAAAGACAAATAAGCTGATCACAAAATGGCCAAAGGACTTGAGTAGACTTTTCACCAGAGGATATTCCAACAGCCCCTAAACATATATGAAAAGATGCTTAGCATCATTAGTCATTAGAGAGTCGCAAATCAAAATCACAATGAACTCTCACTAGGATGGCTACGACTAAAACAAAACAAGCCCCCAGAAAATAAATGTTGTTGAGGATATTAAGAAGTTGAAATCCTTATCCATTACTGATGGGAATGCAAAACCGGGATAACCATTGTGGAAAACAGTATGGTGGATCCTCAAAAAACCCAAACTAGAACTGCCATAAACTGACCCCAAACCAAACTCACTACCATCGAAACGATTAGCAACCCTACAGGGCAGGGTAGAACTGCCTCTGTGGGATTTTGAGCCTGCAAACCTTCAGGGAATAGTAAAGCCTCTGTGGCAGTTACATAATCTCCTGTCAATGTGTGAAGGGGTGGAGTCTAGCCTGTCAATCAAGTTGCAGCTTGATGACATCATTTGGAGGCATGACAAAAATAAATGGCTTACTGGAGGGCGGATACACTCTCACTCTCTGCAAGACATTCCTGTTGACAAGCCACATGGAGCTATGCTGATGCTCGAGCCCTGGAATTGGAGGAGTCACTTGGAGACCCATGCAAGCACTGAGATACTTCCACTGCCACTGGAGCCACAAGACGTTCTGCCCACTGGACTGTGGTCTTTCTTCCTGCATCCAGCATCACTGCATGTGCTGTGTGAGTCTGAAGAATTTACAGACTGGTAATGGACATATGGACTAATATTGGATTTATAGACTTAACCTGGACTGAGCTGGGGTGTTTTCTTAAAAGTACAATTGCTCTTTGATATAAAGCTCTCTCTTAAACATATATGAGTGTCTATGAATTTGTTTCTCTTGTCAACCTGGACTAACACAGCCTGTTTTTGTTCCCTTGAAGGAGCAGGTAGTTTGGAGCTTCTGACCTTGTGGACAGAAGCCCAATGTGTAACCACTATGCCAATAGGGCTCCAAAATTACACGACACAGCAATTCCACTCCCAGGTATATACCCAAAAGACTTGAAAGCAGAGACTCAACCAAATTAGTACACCAACAGCCCCCAGTACTACTCCCAACAGCCAAAAGGTGGAAGCACCCGAACTGCTCATCAATGCACGAATGGATAAATGAAATGTGGCACAAACCTACAGAGGAATACTACTCATTTGTCAGTAGGAGAAATGAAGTCTACATGCTATCGTGTGGATGGAGCTTGAAGACATGATACTAAGTGAACTAAGCCAATCACAAAGGACAAAATTGTATGACCTCACTTATATAAAAAATAAGAGGCAAATGTATAAAGGCCAAAATTTATTAAGTGGTGACCCAGAGTGAGGGGGGAGGGTGGGGAGAAGAGTTGACAATGATGGAAATATTGCATAAGTTCAGGGTAGGGCAGCTGACTATTAAAATTGCTGTCAGTAAGTTGTACACATTTATTAAGTGGAATTGGCAAAACTTATATGATAGATGTATTTATAACAACAGCACACAAAAAAGAGGACTACTTGCCGAGGTGGCTTATGTATATGGGATTTTGATGATTTGGCTCAGAAGTTTAGGGTTATGGTTTTATGGGATAGTTCAGTAAATTGGTTTAATAATGTGTTTAGTGCTTCTACTCTACCTCCAGGGTCTTAAAAGCTCTCAAGCACCCATCCAAGGTACAAAGTTAGATCAATGGTAGAAAGACAGTAAGGAACAGAAGGAAGATATAGGCTGTGTGGATAACTGCCTCCTTTGTCATGAGATCAGAAGAATTAGATAGTGCCTGGCTACCATACTGAACATTTTGATCAAAGAATTGCACAGAAGAATCTTGATCAAAGGGGGGCATGCAGAACAGAGTATCAAATTCTCATGGCTTTTAGGAAGTCTGGGTGCTGCACAATAGATGAACCCCTGAAACAATCTTTAAACCTTAAACCAAAAACATCTTCTAGAGGCTTCTTAAAACCAAACAAAAAAAAAATAAAAACAAGAAAAACAAGAAAACAAATGATTGTTTAGCTTAAGCAGACTAATGTAGAAGGTCTCTCTTGAGCTCTTTTAAGAATTATCTACAGGAGATGGAATTGACAACAGTAACTCAAGAACGATGGGAGAGAAGCTCTAGGGGGCAGTGAGTTCATGTTAAACAGGAAGGAACAACTCTGAAAAGGAGGGCGAGGAATGTAGTCAATGTCACTAAAATGTACTTGTGGAAACAGTTGAATTGGTCTCACAATAGCAAAAACAAATACAATTCAGGAGAGCAAAAGCAAACCAACACATTCAAGTACAGCCTAGCATCAAGTAACCACGCCAGCAAATGCTTCTGATTCACCAGAAGCTTCTCAGTAGTCATTATGATGGCTTAGAACATTCAGTTAAATAAAAAGGTTGGCTGCAGAACAGTTACTTAGACAGTAAAATGTTAGCCACAGCACTTAAAGGCAGCAGGCTGGATGGGGGAAATGGGTGTCGGAGTTACTTACCTGTGCTATATTTTTGTTCAGAAGATACACACCATAATCAAATTGCAACTTCTCCCCTCCTTTTGGATACAGTGGGAACCTAAGAAAAGTAAAGATCAGACGTTTTCCAAAATGAAGTAAAAACAACTTCCAAGTTGCTGGCAAGGGCTGAAGTTTCTTTAGATAGAGAATAAACATCTGAGTGATTAGACTAAGTTATCTTGTAGGTCGCTGTAGCCTATAATACTAGTCAAATCAGAACAATGGTTGTCCTCGTTGAAAGGAACTGAATAGGCTATTCAACAGGGAGTAAATATATACAAAGCAACCCATAGACCCCCAAGAAGTGGAGGCCAGCTTCCTACTTACATTTATTTCCTAAGCTTGCCATGCCAAGATTCAGATTCTAAAAAATGTTCCCATGATACCTTAGATCTGACATTTCAACTTCTACTTAAAGGGAAAACAGATAGGACTGTACCAACAGTGAGATTCAACACTCATTCCCATTGGCTGGGGTGCTATTTGGATGTGACTGCCCCATGGCAATGTTCCTGGGCCACAGGGCTTTCATAGGACTCCATTCTAACCTGCCACACAGCGACAAGAAAGGTACAGGATCTGTGGCTGGCTCTTCATAAAGATGATGAGTTATTTTAGGGAATACATTTCCCTCACGATTTCTCATTTCCTACCCCTGCAAAGAGAGACCGGGCTTTCTACTCCTGTAAGCAGTTAGTCTTGGAAACCTACACAAACAGTTCTACCCTGTCCTACGATCAGCCTACATCGACTCGATGGCAGTGCATGTGGTTGTTTGGGTTTGAGGAAGATGAGACTTCAGTTAATTAAAAAAAAATTATCCTGCATATTAAGATGACTTCTGCTTCCTCGTTTGTAGTGATAATGCACACTCCATTATGTTCTGAGGCCATGATTTACACCAAACTCTTACTTTCTCCAGCCGAGTTTTCCATGACAACGTTGTTCTATTAGTTACTGTAGGCTTAGAGTGACATTCAAATACTAGCTGTCCTCGTCTTTCCAGTCATTCATCACGTTGCTAAGACATTTCATCTTTTCACGCTCACTGCTAGTCTCTTAACCTTGGCACTACTGACATTTTGGGCTAGATCATTCTAGATGATTCCTTGCTGTGAGAGACTGTAGATTGTTTATCAACATCTCTGGCCTCTACCCACAAGCAGTTAGTAGCATCTCAACTCCCAGCGGTGAAAACGTTAAGTGTGCCTCCAGACATTGCCCAATGCCCTGGGGTGAGGCTGGGGAAAAGTAAAAGGTGCTTCTGGCTGAAATCACTGGTCTGCTTCTCAACAGAACTACCACAGCCTTCTGAGCCAGGGGCCTAATGCCAATTCCTTCTGTCACTAATCGATGGATTTGAGGGAGCCTGGACTTAAAACATTTTTATTATGACTGAAAGGGTTAAGTTTCTAGCCTTAGTTTTATGGCTTACTAGTTAGTAACGACCATAGCTTCTCTACCACTTATTTCTGAAGCTGCAAAGCGGAGACCCGGATGCTCCTGCTTCCTTCACGTATGTCTTATAAGGATGAAGAATAAATAAGGTTGAGAAGGCACATTGAGACTGAAAAGCAGGATACAAAAAAAGTCACATATCCTCTCTTAAGGCCTTTTTATCATGCTACTTCTCAGGCGCGCGCTCTTAGCCGATCGTTTTCAGTTTCAACTTCCCTGCCTAACTTTCCAGGTTTAAGTGATCTGACCTGTCTGCTGATTTATTTAAATCTCAGACTCAAGCGGTTTCTTCAACCTCACAAACACACCATTCTCATTTCTCCGTCTCCACCTTTGCTCACTTACTGTCTCTTTCTCTCCTTCTGAGCCAACCACTACTTCCACACGCCTTTTAAAATCCGATATGGGCCCTCAGGCCTCGCTGATTCTCGCTCGACCATCCTCCCATGTAGACACAGGACTGCTAAATGAAAAGTCTGCAGTTCAAACCCGCCAGCAGCCCCATGGGAGAAAGATGCGGCACAGCTGTTCCCGTAAAGATGTAGTCTTGGAAACCCGAATAAGGTTACTATGAGTCAGAACCGATTTGACGGCAGTGGATTTGGTTTTGGTTTACCGCTTGTCAGTTGTTTCGAACCCTAAGGGCAGGGCATCGATTCTTCTATATTTTATCCGTATTCCTACTACTTCATATTTTAAGAACTATGTCACTATTTAAAGTAGTAAACAAAATAAAATTGGGGTGCCTGCCAAAGAATGTGAACTCTAGTTTAACAAAAAATTTCCATGTTTTATGTCCCCCAAAAGTTAACCTGAAATAACAACAGTGAATTATTTCCGAGACACAGGGTTCAGATGAGATTATCACATTGGTAACTACCAGACACCTGCTGCCAGGAAATTTAAAAGACCAGACTCCACATTTTGTGAGATAACCTTCTATTGAGAGGAATAAGTTCTTAGCTGTCTATGAACTCTCAAAGCTACATGAACTCTAAAGAAGTGGTAAAAAAAGGGGCGGGGGGAATCTCACTTAGCACTCTAGAGTTTTAAGAAAAGTGAAAAAATTTGTGAACTTCCATGAGCCTATTCTATCTCTCTCATCTCTTTCCATGATCAAGGATGACAACGACTATACAGTCAGACTAACTCAATTATTTTCCTTGGCGAGATGGACAGAGTAAAGTACTTGTCATAGCAAAAGGGGCTGTGCTTTGTCAAGACGAAAGAAAAAAGGATAATGGTCACATACTGCTCTAAGTTGTGTAAACCTACTGAATGAAGCCTTCCATTGAACTTGCTGTGGGCTGGTCACACACACACACACTAGATGGGAAACGGCTGCTGTCTAATCACTTCACTGTGAAAACATAAGGGTCAGTTTCCACGCTGAAAGGTCATTATTTACGAACCAGTCCATAGTGTATATGCCTTAAGAAGACCCTTTTTAAGACAATCTGCACGTGTGCGTATGGTTTTCTAGTCCAGCGTTCCCCAAAGTGGGCGATGCTGTCCCCTAGGGGGCACTGGAGGGCCTGAAGGGCTGCAGGAGCAGATACCTACACTTTGTCTTGCATGATGGACTACAGACCTCCTGTTTTTAACTGCCGGGGAGGGGAGTGGTGCCGAGTACTTTTTTTTTCTCTCCTGAAAAGGGGGCTGTAAGTCAAATAAGACTGGAAACCTATGCGTTACTCTAACAGTATCCACATTTATTTTAAAATTCTAGGTCTTCTTTGGGTTAAAAGCTTGACTTTAAGGACCAAAATACATTCCTCCGTAAATGATCTTTTAAGTATTATAGGCAATTTAGAGTAATATAGAGAAAGTAATAGATTTCAATTAGCTTGTGGTAAAGTTACAATCTACGTTAACAAAGAATTTTTTTCCAGTTCCTACAGCCAGCATGATTAAAAAAGAAAAGAAAAATCAAATCACCCTCCCCGTTCCCCTACACAATTTAAACTCCTTAGGCTCGATTAGATGGGTTGTTTCTTTGATGAGATGTCTTATCACTTTCCTTCTCATTTGCCACGCTCAAGAACATGTTCCTTGAACACGCCCAGCTTGATGTCACCCCATCTTTGGAGCTTTGAACTTCCAGTATCTCTTATTTTTTAATAGTCTCTTTAGTAACTCCTCCTTGCCAGCTGGTCCCCATGCTACCCAATCTGAAATCGCTCCTTGATGGTACCTAACAACAACTTTTGTTTCCCAAGGGATTGTAATTTTGATAGATTTTCTCAAAGGACACAAGATGATTACCAGGGTTTATAAGGAAGAATATGGAAAACTGCACTGCTGAGAAAAGGTCAGGATATTTGCACTGAGGAGCTGTTTCCCATCAGGACAATGTGCGGTGTATTTGGGGGGCAGGAGCAAGTACAGTCCTATGAGAATTTTGGTGGGAAACTTTACCCCTCCTACCCGACAGTCTGATTTTGCCCCTTCAAACTTCTTTTTTGTTCCGCAAACTCAAAGAGCATTTAAAAGGAATGTGATTTGAGTCCCTTGAGACACTCAAAATGTGTAAGTTGAAGAGCACAGAATTCTTTTTTTTTATCATTTTATTGGAGACTCATACAATTTTTATCACAATCCATACATAATCCATTATGTCAAGCACATTTGTATATTTGCTGCCATCATCATTCTCAAAACATTTGCTTCCTACTTGAGCCCTTGATATCAGCTCCTCATTTCCCCCAACTCTCCCCGCTCCCTCATGAACCCTTGATAATTTATAAATTATTATTCTGTCATATCTTACCCTGTCCGACTTCTCCCTTCACTCACTTTTCTGCTGTCCACCCCCCCACGGAGGAGGTTATATATAGACCCTTATAATTGGTTCCCCCTTTTTACCGCACCTTCCCTTCACCCTCCCAGGATCACCACTGGTCCTGAAGGGATCATCTGCCCTGGATTCCCTGTGTTTCCAGTTCCTATCCGTACCGGTGTACATCCTCTGGTCTAGCCAGATTTGTGGGGTAGAATCGGGATCATAATACTGGGGGGGGGGAAGCATGTAAGAATTAGAGGAAAGTTGTATGTTTCATTGTTGCTACTCTGCACCCTGACTGGCTCATCTCCTCCCTGCAACCCTTCTGTGAGGGGGTGTCCAGTTGCCTACAGATGGGTTTTGGGTCTCCACTCTGCACTCACCCTCATTTACAATGAAATGATTTTTTGTTCTTTGATGCCTAGTACCTGATCCCTTTGACACCTCATGGTCACACAGGCTGGTGGATCACAGAATTCTTTATGGAAGGGTTAGAGAGGCAAAAACATTGCCCTCAGGAGTAGATAGACCTAGATGGAAGATTGGTTAAGAAGTGATAACTTCACATTTTGATATTTTTGTTGAATAAAGGTGTCTGTGATTTTGTACCAATACTTTTTGGCTTAACCTCACATTACAGTCTAAAGAGATTAACTTTTATATGACAGGCGATATTATGTCATCCCAAGTCTTTAATGGAGAAATCATGTAATGAAAATATTTACATCAGAGTATTCTCGTTCTCAACCTCAAATGTAGTTCTGAAGGCAAAGCTGTACTAAAAGAACAATGGAATTTCAGAGAAATTGAATGCCAGA